CACCAGAGTACTTTTAAACACGAGTATCTGTACTTCTACTTGAGTAAAGGATGTGTGTACTTTTTTGAGAATAAAGTCATAATAATGGGAGTAAAGTTGAAATGTTGAGACTTAAGTACAAATTGAGTAAGAATATTAAGAATTAAGTGAAAATCTGTTGAACAAAGTCAACATTTTGATTGTAAAAGTTAAACATTTGAATAACAACGAATATACTTAAAGTTGGATTTTATTCTCATTTTATTTCATTTGTTTTTACCTCATGCCCTCTCTGCTCTTAACGTGTCTGATATGTATTTGTTCTTCAGGGCAAAGTGGTTCATCAGAGCTTCAGCATCCAGAGCTCCTTCACTCAGAAAGTGCGGCTGCAGCAGATCCGCTCGCTGACTGAAGACATTCGCTTTTATTATAAGCGGCTGCGCAACAACAAAGACGAGCTGGAGCCCAGACGGAAATCCAAAGTATGTATTCCCCTTCGCCTCGTCTCCCTGATCCCATTATGCTCCTTATGAACGTGAACTTATTTTTCTTTCCTCCATCTTTTTCAGGTGGCTAATATTTATTTTGACGCCAGCTTGCAGTGTGGTGATCACTGTTATGTGGGGCTGCCATTTGTGCTTAAATGTAAGTTGTTGTTTCTTTTGAGTGTGTGTGTAAAATAAAATATTTACGGAAGAGTTGAAGGGCCGGGCATCAGAGGTAAAAACAAAAGGACGATTTTGAGAATAAGATACAACTTTAAGTATATTCATTTTTATTCAAATGTTTAACTTTTATAATCAAAATGTTGACTTTGTTCACCAGATTTTTACTTAATTCTTAATATTCTTACTCAATTTGTACTTAAGTCTCAATAAATTAACTTTATTCCCATTATTATGACTTTATTCTCAAAAATGTTACGTTAATTCTCAATATTATGACTTTATTACGAAGATTTTCACTGTTATTTTTGGATTGCAGACTATTTCGCCATTTATTCTCAATATTTTTGACTTAATTCTCGATATGTTGACTTTAAAGGGGACCTATCAAGCAAAATGCACTTTTTTATTTCTTTTTATACATCAACATGTGGCCCGGTGTGCCAGGTCAGATGAGCCGTGATTTTAGCTTGCACGTTCTTCTGGAGGTCCGTGTTGACTTCAAAGACGGCTTCGACCCTTTTTGAAAAGAGAAAAAAAAAAAAACACATCTTGTGACGTTTACCGTTCCATATCATTCGGGAAGATTCTCATGTACAATTCAAAAGTTGCTTAAAAGGTCTCCTATCATGCAAAATGCACTTTGTGATGTCTTTTATATATGAATATGTGTCCCGGTGCGTCAGAAAATAAAACCCTCTCTCTTTTCCTCCGTACCCACATCTTTTAAAAACAGGGGTACAACGAGCTGATCCAGATTTGCTGCCGATATGAAGTAATTCCGGATGGTGGACCCACAGAGAGTTGCTATCAGAAACAATGCCTGACGTGTTTTGGACGTAATCTCGTCTTTGTTTACATTAGCAAGCCTCGCTAACACTCAGAGCTAGCCTGTACTGGAGAGCACATGTGTTTTAAAAAGCAGGAAATAAAAAAAGAACTCACCTTGTGATAAACCCGCAAGAGAAAAAGCATTTGAGCTCCATACTGTTTCAGAAATAATCCTTGATGTGGTTTAGAACAGGATGGCGTTTTATCATAGCAGAATTTAACTTTATCTCCGGTAGAATTCTGATCAGGCATTAGCCCCGCCTCCTTTTTTTTCCCTTTTTTTTTTTTCAAGTTAAGGACCCAAAATCCGCGTTTCTCTAACAGGGCTGCAAAAGAGGGGAATGAGGGATTTCAAAAATGTTTGATATGTTTTTATATATTTTGATATATCTGAAGCTCATAATATATGCCTAAAAATAGCATGATAGGAGACCTTTAATCTTAACATTATCGCTTTTTTCTCAAAATGCGTAACTATAAAAATAAATCTTTCTTAATAATGTTTCCCTCTTATGCCTGGCCTGAACACTCTTTGGTGCAAATCTCCCACAACAAGAACAGAAATGTTGTATTAATGAATCTGTGTGTCCCTCCCAGCGGAGTCGAAGCCTCACGGTCTGGCGCTTCAGGAAGACATCTGGGACGCAGACGTAGACCTTCATCAGAAACTCCTGCGCAGATGGAAAGAGCTCAAAGAGCGCTCGGGACACAAGTGAGTTTAGACTTAGAGCTCACCGATTATACAAAATCCACTTCTCCATGTCTCTTCTACATCAACATGTGTCCCCTCTTCTCCATGTCTCTTCTACATCAACATGTGTCCCC